TGTCTCTGTCTCTCCAAATATAGATAGATAGATGATAGATACATAGATACAGATCATTGATTCTCTTTCTCTAGAAAACACAAACTATTTTTTTTGAGACAAGGTCTAACTATGTAGTTCAGGCTGGCCTTGAGCTCATTATGTAGCCCAGGCTGGCCTCAAATTCATGGTGATTCTCCTGCTTCAGCCTCCCAAGTGTTGAGTTTACAGGTGTGCCCAGCACAAACAAGTAATTTAGAGAGTTAGTGTATTATTGGTGATGTGCAGGCTGAGATGTGAAGTAGACAAGGAGAGGCGATCTTAAAGGAATATAAATTTAAAAACCAAACTGAATGTAAATTCCCCAAATCTAAGGCTGGGAACATAGCTCAGTGGCACAGCACCTGCCTGAATCCTCCAAATCTGGCCCTTGACCCACTTGACTTGGATTTCCTCCTTTGTGCCGCCCCTAGATCTGAACACTTTCCTGCCTCTCCTCTCCCCAGAACAGTCGTGGGTTTCAGCTTTGTGTCCTTCTTGGACAGCTCTTCTGTTTCAGAGAGGTCACCTAATTCCCCTGTTCTCCACCTCTGCAGTCCTTTGATGGAGGAAAAGCCCACTGCAAGTGAGCAGAGACCTTGGCAGAACAGCCCCCACCCAGGCTGGAAAGGAAAGCCCTGGGCTGGAAGCGGCTGGCTTCTTTCACTGCCCTTTGCATGCTGCTCCATTGCTGGGTTCATCTCAAGCCTCTCTGCCAGCTCCCTCGTGGAGCTTGGACACTTCCCGCTGATACAAAGGGAATCAACAGGACACGTAGGCAGGCACAGGTTCCTAGCAGCTGGAGACTGGGGCAAGTCACTTTCTCTGAGCCTTATCCACCCCATACATAATAAGGGAATATGCACAACTGCCTTATAAGGTTGCTGAGGATAAGATGCATCCAGGATGGCACTGGTGCAGAGTAAAACTGACGGCAGAAAGCAAGTCTTTTACTCTCCTCTCTGCATCCCAGCCAGCCTCTCTCTTTCAGAGATTATTTTACCCCCTGTGCCCCTCTTGTCCTTCAGAAGCCAAATTTACTATGGATGTGGGCAATCAGGGAATGGTTGCCAAGGGCAGGGCTTTCAGAAACGCTGCCTGTTGCCTAGGAAACTGCCCCACTCCGGTTCCCCAGGGTCCCAGCAATCGATGGGTCCAGGCGCCATCTGCTGGATACAATGCTACACTGCTTCTGAAGCACCCGGACAGGGAATCCCGCAGCCCGGGAGCAGGGAACACCCTCCTGGCCATCCCCACCTCTCCCGCCCATCTTGCAGAAAAGCGCTTTGCCCCCTTTGTCCCAGATCTCCCCAGAGACCAGAGAAGTAAAAAAGACTGGATACTGTGGGCCATGAGGAGAGTACGAGTCGTGTCCTTCCCCATCTAGAGAGGAAGACAGGGGACAAGGGTCCGCAGGAAGTCCCTCCCTTTAATTGATTTCCTGAAGCTGGGAATCCGCAGTGCAGATGTGCGTTTTGCTGTCCACTGGCCCATGCTCCACAGGGAGCATGAAAATGTTAGAGTCGGGTTGGGAGAGTGACAAGTGGGGTCACAGCAAGGTCCTTATCAAGCCCTCCTGCTCCCCCTCCTGCTGAGCTGCTCGGCTCCTGGCGCCTAGTCTCAGGCTCCCACTCTGTGGGGAGCAGCTTCCCTACACACCATGACAGCTGCCTCAGATCAGCCTTCCTCCTGCAGAAGAGAGAAGCGGACAGCCTGCTATGGAAACCAGGGCTCCCGAGTTGATTCTGCCTGAGGCAGCCTTGCCCTCAGCCACCCTCAGGTCACTCTGAAGTGCAGAATGAACTGGAATATCTGAAGTGTGGGTCCAAGAAAGAGTAGCTGGACATGCCTATGCCTGTAGTCCCAGCACTTGGGAGGCTGAGGCAGGAGGATCACAAGCTTGAGGCTACCCTGAGCCACACAGTGAATTTGAGGGGCAAGGGAAGCTGCTGGGGCACTTTCATTGTTAGGTTACCAGTTTCTCTAAACTGAGGCACAGGGTGAAGGAAAGCTGGTCTACCTGTCCCAGGCTAACATTGCACCTTGCTATCCATATGCCCCTTGCCTGACCCCTACCTGGGCCAGACACTCTGGAGTTCATCCTAGAAGCTGTCACCGGTGGGTTTGTTGAGCAGAAGTATGGGGACCAAGGTCTCCGGGTCCTGACTCCACCCATCTTCCCTCCTGAGCTGAGCCACAAGGTAACTGAGGGGGCAGGTGGCAGCGGTGACTGCCACACCCTGCAGGTGAGCCCAGCCATGGGCACAGCAGATGGGCTGGGTGCTTCTACCCTGCCACTACCCTCTAACTAGATTCCCCACCTTGACATTCAGCCTGGAGACAAAGGCCTGCTCAGGTGCAGGGAGGTAGGTAGGACGGGTCCCTCAGACCTCTAGTAAGGCGGTCTGTGTGCAAGGCTGAGCTTGGAGTGTGGCCCTTACAAGTCAAAGAGGACCCTCAAAGGATAAAATTCTGCTAAGGGAGGAGGACCTGCCTCCCCTGAGCCACCCCCTGGGGAGTCCTTCTTCCTCTCCAACCCTACTCCAGATGGAAGACAAGGGTAGAGAGGGGGGTTCTGGGTATGCACGGCCACAGTACCGACCCTCCCTCCTCTCAGGATGGCTGACCCCTCCTCCACTGGCACTAGAGCCACTCAAGTTGTGAGGAGCCTCAGAGGGATAGTCTGGAATTCCTGGGCCAGGCCATCTGAGAGTCCCCATTCTCAACCCTCTGAGGTAGGGACAAGGTGCAGCCACTGGTGCGGGCTGCCCACTGCTCCTCCCTGGTCTGTCCCCATGGGTACCAGAGGGCCCACTACTCCTCACCGAGGAAATGATCACCTGGTGACATGACTCCCGCTCCATCCACCTCCCCCTAGGGGCCTGGCTCCACCCACTTCTCCTGCCCTTGCCGTCCTTCCTGGCCTGCCACTGCCATGCCCACTCCAGGACTGGCTCAGGCTGCTTAAGGGCTGCGGGGACCTGGGGCAGTGGCTGGCCACCGCGGGTGATGCACACCTTCTCCAAGTGGCTATACCTTTGCACTCAGGCCAGTGCCCAAAACTGGGACCTGCGGTGCCACGGCAGCATGGCTCGGCATTGATCTTCAGCCTGGCAGCAGGCATGCACAGACCTGAGTGAGTGTGCCAGGGAGTGGGTAAAGGGCACCTGAGCCACACAAACCAGGCTGCACATCAGCTGGGCATGAATTCTGCTGACCAAGTTTGTCCCAAATGTGGCTCTGCTGCTTTTGCACAGCCACCTCCTATGGCCTTCCTGCCAAGGGCATCTTCCCTCTGTCCTGCCTGGGCCGTGCCCACAGTGGCTGAGTTTGCAGTCAGAGTGAGCACAATGTTTCGGTTATCCCCAGCTGTCACTCTTCTGGGCAACAGGCGAGCGAGCAGACAAATTTACTGAGCACCTATACCCTTCTATGGGTTCCCTAATACACTCCTTATGCAATGAGGCCATGAGGTAGACGCTGGGGCAGTGGAGACTTTTTTCTGTAACATATGCTTTGGGAAGAGTCTCAGAAATCAGGTAACTGGGTACATGGATTTCTTCTACAACAGTAATTCTCAAACTTTGGCATATATGAGGACTGGGGGCTGGGTACCCAGCCAGAGGCTCAGCCTCAAGCCCCCTCACCCCAGTGAGCCTGGGCCTCTGGGGTCCTTACTGGCTCTCTGAGTATTCTAATGAACACCAAAACACAAGAACCGCTGTTCCAGAACTTCCTCCAGAAGGGCCAAACAAACGCCAACATCCCTCAAGGAATGGGGTAACACACCCCACTTCTCCGTGTTGACAGACTGGGTCTAGTTCAAAGGAAAACCTGCCCTTTGATCCACTCACCTCCTTGACCCAGAGTGGCCTAGCATTTATCTAAAAACCCTAGACTTTCCCAACTAATTGCTGGTCACACCGCTTCCTATAATGGTTTTTGTAAACCAGCATGCAAGACAGGCCACAAGACATGGCCTCCGCTTGGTGCATCTTCCCTCACCTTTCCACCTCCCAGGCCAGGGGTCCTCCTCTGACAGCTGCATCACCTCCGACCTCAGGCGCACACAGAGGCCACAGACCCCAGAGCACAAGGCCTCCAGGGACTCCCGGTGAGCTACTCTTTTTGTGACAACTCCTGGAGCAGATGTGAAGCCAACTCTGAATGTACACATCTTGTCACTTAACCCTTTTCATCCCTGAAGGTGCCACAAAGCTGGCTGATCCTGCAGCGAAAGCCTGGCCCGGACACTCCACAGACATCAGGTTTCCTGGCCAAAAGGCTGTCAGTGGGAGCCTGAGAGAGCACCGCATGCCAACAGGGTCTGTGGAGCACCCCCGGTAGTCATGGGAGCACTTCCCGGTCTTCCTTACCCATAAACCAGGGTCTTCCTCACCCTCTGCTTCTCTCGGCCACAGGGCAGGCCCACACTACCTTCCTTGCTCTGTTTGAGTGCTGTCTGTTCTTTGCCTTAATAGGACACCTCTGCAACCACTGCCCAGCCACAACACTAGAGACAACGCAAACGTCCCAAGATCTCCCAGTTCTAGGTATACGCAGCCTGTGGGGCAGTCTGTCTGCGAAGCAGAGGGAAGAGGTGGAGGGCCGGACCCAGGCCACATATGAACAGTGACAGCTCACCTACTCTGCCTGGTACCTACAGGTTTATGTCAGCTGATGACACCACAGACCCTGGGCCATACGGGCAGAGCCACTGCCAAGCTGTCTTCTTCCTGTGCCTGGGCTGTGCCATTCAGCATTAGAAGGATGCAATGGTGCTTTCTGGCCATCACACACAGGGCCCCAACTGCTGGAGTTCTATAGCCACAGTGACCCCTCTGTGTCACTGCCTGGCTGCAGAACCTGCTGGCCTGCTGGCACTGCCCTGGGAGACCTCCTGCACATGCCCACCTGTATCCATGATGTCCTCAGGTACATGGCTCCCGCCATCCAGTGGGTAAGGAACAGAGACAGGATGGTAGAGGCATTGAGACCTGCTTGATTTATTCAGATTATTTAATATACAATGACGCAACTGTGATCCCAAAGTGTGCAAAGTTAAAGCCTTCAACTGCAGCTGAGAGGAGAGGGCAGGACTGGTACACCTGGGGACAGTGACGAGTCGGGAATGACGGGCAGGTGGCCATCATCAGGGCAGCTGCTTCCCCAGGTGGCCTGAGGAGCAGGGCCCAGGGTAGCCTCAGGCCAGGGGAAGGGGGCAGAGACCTCCCCCGTGGCCTAGGTCAGGAGCCCAGAGTGCCACATGGCTGAGAGGGCAGCAGCCCGGGAAGGGGCCAGAGGCAAGGCCAGGAGAGCACCATTTCCTAGGGGAGGGTGGCAGGGAGGGAGGTGCCCTACAGGAGAAGCCAAGAGGGACCACCTGCCCCAGGGGTGAGAGCCGGGCACAGCAGGCTGCAGCGAGAGAGACCTGAGGCAGGCACAGGGCCTGTGAGCCCAGGCTGGCTGGGCTCAGGGGCTGAAGAAGGGAGATCCTGGGGGCTCCCAGGGCAGCCCTAACTGTGAAGGGTGCCCAGGGAGAGGCTGCAGTCCCCTCAGGGCCTCCCTTCCTCTCTCCCTAGAAAAGAGCCGGGGAACCCGTAGTGCAAATCCATGGACCACTCAGTTATGGAGGGAGGCTGTGCCCAAAGGGGGGTCCTGGGGCGTGCCCCCTCCACCACCGCGGCCTCCACCGCCATCCTCAGTACAGCCGCTTCTCGAAACTGCAGAGACAAGAGGCAACCGAGAGTGGGAATGTGGGCCCTGTTCCCTTCCTAAATCCCTGCACCCAGGGACCCCCACACTTGAGGGTGGGAGAAAGCAGGTGGCCCTGGGCCTCGGGCCTCCACAGCCAGGGCTCCCTGAAGAACTAGGCCAGGTCCAAGGACAGCCATGCTCCTTCTAGCCACGGTCACAGCTAAGTGGACTGCCCTTGGTGCTGGGGTGGAGAGATGGCTCAGGAAGGCCCAGCCATGCTCAGGGAGGAGGCCCCGACCAGATGCCAAGGCTCGGCTGCCTTGTCTCCACCCCACTCCCACACACATGGTGGCCCGGGAGCCTCTTGCTGTCCCAAAACAGGGATTTGCATTTTTTGTGGGGTTTTTTTGAACTGGGAATCAAACTCATAACCTTATACTTGCCAGGCAGGCGCTTTGCCACTGAGCTATTTCCCTGGCCCGGGATGTGTGTGTTGGCTGGATGAGGGGCCACAGCTGGCCTCCTCCACCATGGTGCTGGGCACAGGGGCCAGGAGGGCCTGATCCCAGGGTCCACGTCCCATGAATAACCTCAGTGCCACCCCAACCCAATGTCCCTCCTCCCGGCTCAGGCCCCACCCAGCTGGCCCCTGCTCTACTCTAGGCTTGGCCCCGGCAGCGCAGTTACTTACACGGCACAAAGGTATAGCTATGGGAGGGTGGGGCAGAAAGAGACACAGGTTAGATGCCCATCTATGCCTGGGGATGTGGGTCCTCTCAACCAGGGCGGGCCACATGCCTGCAACTACTGCTGCCAACTAGCTCTGCCCCCGCCCACAGTTGCCCCAGCGCCAGCCCTGGCACCTGCCTTTCTCCCCACCAGAGGCCTCGTGCCTTCATCTTCTGCCTGCCTGCCTGCCTGGGGCCGCCACCAGCAAGAGCCCAGCATCACCAGCCACCTGCCACCTGCCACCTGCCACCAAGCTTCCTGAACAAGCAAGGGCTGGGGAACCCTGGTGGGACGGGGGTGCCCTACTCAGAGAGATGCCCAAGGGGCGTGGCCTGGCTGCCTGAGGGCTACAGGACAAGGTTCGGGTGGCTGAGCCCTGTAGGGTGGTGTAACAGGTCCGTCCTGCAGCAGCACCCAACCTGGGTGTGCAGGGTCCACGGGCCCCGGGAACATCAGCCCAACCTCTGAACCCCGGCCCCACCTGCCACTTCCAGCGCCAGCCAGCCGGGATGAGAAGGCCGCCCCACTTACGAGTGCAGGCTGTGCACGCCGCCCTCGATCTGGGCTGACATGGTCCGCTTCTCGAACTTGAGCTCTCCTGAGTACATCATGGACCTGGCAGGTGGGCAAGTGAGCAGTCACCCAGGAGGAGAAGAGATAGAGAGGAAGCGGGAGGGAGGGGAGCCTTCCAAACTCCCTCCCACCGCACCCTCCTCCAGTCTCAAGAGCTCACCGAAGGACCGACAGGCTCCGGGCCCCAATGTCCTGGCAGCCGTGCTGGATCCCGGCTATGAGGTAGGGCACAAATTTCTGAATGGAGCCTTTGTCCTGGATGGAACCTGAGACACCTTGCGCAATCTTCACCTTGTCCCCCTCGCTGTGGGGAGAGGTGGGGAAGCTAAGCCCGGCAGCCTTTGGATCAGAGAATCCCACCCCACTCCACCTCTCAGGGCACGGGCAAAGAGGAGGCCACCCACAAGGTCCCTGGGGCAGCTGCTCGTTGGGCTGCAGCAGAGACCCGCACAGCCTGAGCCAGGTGGTCCAGGTTTGGTGCTTTGTCCGCTACTTATGCTTGTGCCTCAGCTTCCAGATCTCTAGTACAGGGTGCGTATCACCTGGGGACGTCAGGGGCATGTGTGAGCTCAGGGCCCGGGCTGGTCTGGCGTGTGGTGGTCAGTCCAGGGCACACACCTGAAGTATCGTTTCTGGCTGCTGCTGCTCTTCTCCATGGCATCAAGCGAGCCCATGCCACGGTACTTCTTGAGCCTCACCCCATCCGAGAAGAAGTACTCACCCGGGGCCTCGGTGGTGGCGGCCAGCAGAGAGCCCATCATCACTGTGGAGGTCAAGGGGTCAGTGCGTCCCACCCCACCCCAGTCCTGCTGCCCCCCAGCTCCCACCCTACCTGCCCACCCTCAGGATCTGCCTCACCTGTGGAGGCTCCAAGGGCCAGGGCTTTGACCACGTGCCCCACAGTCTGGATGCCACCGTCTGCTATGACCGGCACACCGAAGCGCCGGGCGTACTCAGCCACCTTGTACACGGCGGTGCCCTGGGGCCGGCCGCAGGCCATCACTGAGAGGGGTGGGCACAGAACAGCCACGAGTCAGCAGCAAGGGGGGGCTTGGGCGAGGTCAGCCTTTCCCCCAGCCCACCTGCACTCACTCTGGGAAAGGGACCCGCTCTTGGTGCTCCCGAGGCATAAGACAGATGCCAGCAAGACCAGGCTGAGCGTCCCTCCCAGAACCCAGGCCACCCACCCCTAACAGCACCACAGGGGATTCAGTGGGGGATCAGTGCTGGCTCCCCCAGAGTACAGCACCCCCTAACTGGTCACCAGCACCACCTGCTCTGCATGCCCAAGCCCCTCTGTGAGGTTCTCATCTGCAAGAGCTATAACTAGGGTGAGGTGCTTATGGCCTCCTCTGGGGAGGGACTTGTATTTGTTTCTTTGTCCCTGGTCCTTTAGGTTTAAGTGGAATCCTAAGGAAACAGCAATTTGCTATGGACAGGTGCAAGGCTGGCCAAGCTAGAGGGGAGGCCATTAGTTTTGTCCCTAGTTACACTCCAAGGCTTAGCACAGTGCCTGGCACACAGCAGGTGCTCCCTTAATATATATTAGATGAGAAAGGGCCACATCTCACCACAGTGGTCTGCTAAGGTGAAGGCAGAGGCCCTGAAGACTGAAAGGGGGAGATGTTCTGGGCAGTGACAGCCCAATGAATCACTCAGTGTTTTGGAGAAATGTCCTTCACAATAGGAACCAGACCCCGCCCCACTGACCAAGTCAGATCTGACTCCTCTAGTCAGCCACCCTACAAGTCAGACGCCAGCCTTCAGGAAGAACACTCTCAACCACATGGGGGACACACATAGGGTCTCCCCTCACACCTCCATGTTATAGGAATCCACCCCGCAAAAGGGCTCTGTGACTGAGTGCAACTCCCCCCCGCTACTCTATTTTCATCCATGGTCATATGAGTTCATAAGATCCCTATCTATTCAGGGACATGGTGTCATTGTGCCTTAAGCATCTGCCTTGGTCACAAATCCAGTCCAAAACCTCAAGTGGCTTCCAATAGGCAGCGGGGAAAAGTACTCGCATCAGCCTCGGGCCCAGACTGGACAACCTTGACTAGAACCTGCAGACCAAGCAGGCTGCTGCACACCCCAAACACAGTGCCCTCATCCGCTCACCCTAATTCCCACCAAGTCCATGGGCCACAGCCGGCAGAGCCTGTGCCTGGGTCCCCCCGCGCCTGTATCCCAGGCAGGGCCTAGCAGGGCCAGCACTTGCTGTGGAGCAAGAGCAAGGCCCTAGGGGCTGTGCTGGGCCAGGGGCTGCTCTAACCAGCAGTCACTCTTCCTCCTGGACACTCACCTTCTTGGGTGATGCAGATGGAGCCACAGCCCATGCCCACACGCAGCCCATCCACACCAGCGTCCACCAGATTCTTGGCCTGAGCTGCTGTCACTACTGGAAGTTGGGGAGACAAACAGAGAAACAAGATGAGGATGGGATGTCCCTGCGCTCCCAGTGTTTTCCTGGGACCTCAGTCTAGCAGCCCCCCCGACACCTACAGTAACCAAAGCCCATCCTGCCCCTACTGCCCACATGGCAGCGGTGCCACCCCCCACAATGATAAGGGACAGAGAAGGGTCATACAGCGAGGGGCAGGAGCAGCAGGATGCGGGGAGCCTGCACTCACCATTCCCCCCAATCACCTGGAGGTGGGGGTACTTCTGCTTGATGTAGTGCACCATGGCAATCTGATACACTGAGTTCCCCTGGGAAGAGTCCTGCAAACCGGGGACAGTAAGCTTAGGCTGGACAGTGAGGCCCCACCCTGGGCAGCGAGTCCCTAAATGGGCGGATCACTGAATCATAGGAAAACTGACACAGGAATGTGTTTTCTTTCTTTCCCTAGGAGGTCACTTGACAATCTCAGCTGAGGGCCAAAACAGATGGACTGCTTCCCCAGAAAGCTAAACAAACACTCAGGTACTGCCTCAGAGCAGACAGAGCCCCTTCTTGCCCCTGGAGAAAGAAAAGAGTCTGAGATCTGATGCAGTTTGGGTCCCTTCCCTTCCCTTTCTTTTCTTTTGCAGCATCAGGAACTGAACCCAGGGCCTACCACACGCTGGGCAAATGTTCTGCTACTAGGCTACATCTTTGGCCTTTCTCTTTTTCATTTGAGACAGGGTCTCACAAAGTTACCCAGGGTGGCCTCAAACTTGCAGTCCTTCTGCCTCAGCCTCCCAAGTGCTGAGGCAGGCGTGCATCACCAGGCCCAGCTATATTTGGATGCTGCGTATCCCCCAAAGGAGCTATGTTGAAAGCTTGGGGCTGGGGATTAAGCTCAGCAGCACAGCGCCTGCCTGGCAAGTGCAAGATCGTGAGTTCAATTCCCAGTACCAGAAAAACAAAACAAAACAAAACAAAAAAAAAATAGCACATGAAAACTTGGACCAGACCATATTTCTACTATGAGGAGGTAGAATTTTTTTTTAGTTTTTTTTCCGGTACCGGGAATCGAACTCACGACCTTGCACTTGCCAGGCAGGCACTGTGCTGCTGAGCTAAATCCCCAGCCCTGAGGAGGTAGAAATTTTAAGAGGCGAGACCCAGTAGCGGAAGTCAGGCCCCTGCAGGGCTTCCCTGGAAGAGGCGTTTGAGATCTGCCCCTTCTTTTCACTTTGTTTCTCAGCACACTGTGTGGTAAACATCCTCCTCTGCCACACCCCCCACCACGATGCACCCTGCGGCCAAAGGCCCAAAGCAACAGGGCCAGTGGATATTGACCAAATCCCCTGAGATTGAAGCTAAACAAGCCTTTCTTCCTTTTAAGTTGGTTGTGTCAGGTATTTCATCACAGTATTGGAAAGCTGACTAACACAGGTTCCCAGCAACTCACTAACCAAATGAAAGTTATCAGTTTGAGCCCATTTCTTCATCCAACACCTGGGAATGGCACCCTTACCTAAAGGTAGTGCTGCAGAGATTAAATGAACAAACACACATGCAGGTCTTAGCTTAGCGCCCACTAAGCAGGGGCCTCTCGAGGAACATGCGTGTCACTTTTAGAGTCAATTTATACATGGGGAAGATCCTCAGAGCGTTCTGGGCTCTACAGAGAGTGCCAGGACCCTTGGATTCCGACACCAGCGAGCACACAGAGCAAGAGCAACAGGGGAGGGGCCTGGGCTAAATCAGAGGTGAACGCGGGCTCTGGGGAACCGCTCCCCTCCTCACCAGCACGATGACATCAGCGCCTGCCTGGGTGAGCAGGTCCAGGCGGTACTTGTCATCCTCACGGGTGCCCACAGCTGCCCCGCACAGCAGCTGCTTATGGGAGTCCTTGGAGGCCAGAGGGTAGTCTCGGTTCTTCTTCAGGTCAGTGCGGGCAATGATGGCCACCAGCTCATCGCGATCATTCACAATCGGCAGCTTCCCTGACCAGGAAAGCAGAGGTAAGGGGAGGAGGCAGGCTTGGGGCTCAGTCGGGTGTGAGGGGATGATGTGTGTTGGGGAGAGGGTAAGAGCTGCCCAGGCCAGAAACTCCACTGAAATACCCAAACCAGCCACTAGGTGACAGCACCCACCCAGCAAGTATTCCTTAAAACCTGGCCCCTGTCCTAAGGAGCAGGAAGCAAACTCTGGCTGTCAAGCAGGTTCCTAGGGCTCTTCCTGTCCTGTGGCCTGGCCTGGGTGGGAGGCAGTGTCTGAGCGCTGACAGCCTTTCACCTGCTGGGCCATAGGCCAAAACAGTCAAAAACTGTCCAGCGCAGGTTTGAGCTTTCCTGCAAGGGGGATGTGTGCCTGCCCCCAACACACCCCAAAACTCTCCACTATGGACCAGAGAAGCAACAGCCCACAGGAATCTAGTGAGGACGATGTAGTCAGCAGCTCCAATATGCAAATTCAGCTGCAGCTTTCACAGCCTTTAACCGTGTAACAGTTTACCCCAAACATCACTTGGGCAGCGGCAGCGTGTCTGTTTACATACTGAGTCTCAGGAGACATCATTTCAACTGGTCAATTCATGTACTGAATAAATTGGATAAAATTGTCATGTTTATATTTCTTGTTATATTATCTTATAAATTTAATGAAAAAAATTCTGGAATTTTTGGTCACCCTGTATTTAAATAATTGGACTGGTAACTGATAAGCCAAAGTGCTCCTCTATGCAACACGCGGGGGTACAGAGAGCAGCATTTCTCAAGCTTTTGAGACCACAGAACAGTTTGGTGCTGGGGGTGGAACACAGGGCCTTTGTACTAAGCTACTTCCCCAGCCTTTTTTTTTTTTTTTTTTTTTTTTTGCCTTTTTGAGATAGGGTCTTGCTATGCAGTTCAGGCTGGTCTTGAGCTCACTTTGTAGCCCAGGCTGGTCTCAAATTCACAATGATCCTCCTGTCTCAGCCTCCTGAGTGCTGGTATTTGTGCAGCCACCACACCTGGTTCATTCCCTAGCCTTTTAAAAAAAATTTTGTTTTTGTTTTGAGACAGAGTCTCAGCCTCCCTCCTCAGAAGCTTACTGTTGTTTTTGTTGTTGGGTTTTGCTTTCTTGGGACAGGGTCTCACAACATACTGCAGCTGGCCTCAGCCCTGAGAGCTGGGATGACAGGAATGAGCTACCACGCCCACTCACAGAGCCCTGGGCAAGCACCTCGCAGGACCAGTTCTGAGAAACACACTGAGGATGCCGAATTAGAGAGAAGCTCCCCGGGGCCAGAAGAAGGACACTGGAAATCACGCTGCAGCCTGCCTGGGGTTATTCAAACCTCTCTCAAGGCCCAGTGAGGGGCAACTGGAGGGGCCATGAAGGAACAGAGGGGCCGAGGACGCCCGGAGTTAGGCTGGGGGTTAATGCTCTGCCCGCCTCCCAGTACCTTTCTTGCTGCGCTGCAAGATCTCATTTGCCTCTTTCAACGTCACGCCTGCTGGTGCCACCACCAGCTCCACCCGGGGCGTCATCACCTGTGGGGCCAGGAACATTTACCTGCAGGTTGGCAGGTGAGAGAGAAGGAGCCAGGCCTCCCGCTGGTCCCCGGTCACAAGCACCAATCTGGAGCCCCAGGGAGTAGGGCCCTCTCTGCACCCCAGCCCTGCCTGCCCCACCCCGCAGGCACCTCACTGAGGAGCGTGGTGTGGTCCTTCTCAGCGAGGAAGTCAATGTCGCGGGAGGTGACGATGCCCACCAGCTTGCTGCCCATGGTGCCCGTCTCCGTGATGGGGATGCCGGAGAAGCCGTGCCGGATCTTGGCCTCCAGCACATCGCCCACGGTATGTGAGGGGCTCAGCACCACCGGGTCTGTGATGAAGCCCTGCTCAAACTTCTGCAGGCAGAAGGGGAAGGGAAAGGCTGAAGAACGCCAGGGTCCTGGCTGTGCTCAGGGAAGCCGGGGCTCTCGGTGGGGTGAGGGCCCAGTGGGAAAATAAGGACTCAGTCCTGTGCCCCCTTCAAGGACAAGCAGCCGGGATCCCACAGTGACCAACCAACAGTGCAGCAGCCTGCTCAGCACCAGGAGAGGTGGGAGATGTGGCGAGGCAAGGCCTGCCAGGTGGCATCTTTCCAGGGACCAGCCTGGTACTTGCCTTGACCTTCCGCACTTCATTGGCCTGGAACTCTGGGGTGCAGTTGTGGTGAATGAAACCAATCCCTCCCATCAGCTGGGGCAGAAGGAAAGTGTGGTTAGAACCGTAGCCAACCCTCCTCAGCCCTGTACCTCCGCACGGCCCACCTTGCTCAGTCCCCTCTGCCCTGGGGTCCACACTCGGGTATAGGACTCACAGCCATTGCAATGGCCATGTCAGCCTCTGTCACAGTGTCCATGGGAGAGGAGATCAGCGGCGTCTTCAGAGTGATCTTCCGGGTCAGGGCGGACGTCAGGTCCTGAGGACAGAGGCACAGTCTTTATCAGCAACTAGACTAATATCCACCAGCGCCTAGCTGTACCCTGCACCAGGGACAGGGAGACCCTGGATGGCCCAGCAGGGGTCTTTTTAGGTATCTCTCTTCTTAGCAGCCAGTACAGAATCTGGCACAATGGCACATGCCTGTAATCCCAGCACTTGGGAGGCTGAGGCAAGAGGATCATTGCGAGTTCGAGACCAGCCTGGGCTACAAAGTGAGCTCAAGGCCAGCCTGAACTGCCTAGGGAGACCCTGTCTCAAAAAGACCAAAAAAAAAAAAAAAAAACAACAACAGAATCTGGCACAAGCCAGGGTGCTCAGTAAACTTTACTAACTTAACGGCTAGACCAAGGCTTCCTGGTTTCTGGCATAAGGAAAATATATAGAATAGCCCAAATTTCCCCCTAAAACTCATCTGTCTGGGTCAGCTCTGGCTACACAGGGCCCCTGGGAACAGGGAAGTGAGCAAGACAGCTCTCACAGAGCTGCTGTTGCACTTGGATAGACAGAGGACAAACATCAGACACACAGACAATTTCAGCCAGGAGAAAAACAACAAGGCCAAGTGACCACTCGGAACGCGTGCTGGGACTCTAGGTAACAAAGGCTGGGGTAGGGGAGGTACAGAGAGGTGTCCATTAGCAATCCAGGAAAGGGGCGACCAAGGCGCTAGCACTCTAGAGAGGCGTCAGGATTGCAAAAACAGGTGAGTGTCCCTACTCTAAGATCCAAAATGCAAAACGCTCCGAAGCCCTAACCTTTTTGAGCACCAACGTGATGCCACAAGTGGAAAATGCTACACCTAACCTCGTGACAGGGCAGTCAAAACAGGCACCCTAAAAATAGTGTATAAAATTACCTTCAGGCTATATAAGGTTTATGGGAAATACAAATGAATCTCTGGTTTTAACTTGGGTCCACCCATAAGATATCTTATTATGTATATACAAATACTGCAAAATCTGAAAATAATATGAAATCCTAAACACTTCGGTCCTGACCATTTCAGATAAAGGATGCTCAACCTGTATATAACTGTGACTCATCTATGAATGATACGAATGGTATCCCCCTATGAAAGGCCAATCAGACCCCTCTGAGATTTGGGTCAATAGCTGCTGATTCTAGCCCCTAAGCCCCCCAGAGAAGACTTTAGTACACCATTTTTTGTGTGTGTGTGTGGTTGTTTTTTTTTTCCGTTACCGGGAATCGAACTCACGACCTTGTGCTTGCCAGGCAGGCGCTGTGCTGCTGAGCTAAATCCCCAGCCCCTAGTACACCATTTTTGAGATTCAGAGGCCCCTAAAGTCAACCTCAGGGGATATAGCTCAGCGGGGCAGCACCTGCCTGGCAAGTGTGAGTTCCTGAGTTTGATTCCTGGTAACCGCCTCCCCAAAAGAAGATTTCTTCTAAAGTCAGTCACTAGACCTGGGCCAGAACCCTAACTCCACAGCCTAGAAAAAGCCACCATCTCCTCTCCCATCATACCAGAGAAGAGCCCCGGCCTTCCTGACAGAAACCCCAGGATAGCCAGATGTGCAATAACCAGGGAGGGTCTTTTGGAGCCCTCCCTTTCTGGTAGTTAGTCCAGGCTCTTGTACAAAGCCAGGGAGAGGTTTTAGTAAATTCTGTTAAACTAAACAGCTTCACCAGGAATACTTCCTAGCCAGGCTTGGTGGCACTCGCCTGTAATCCCAACATTCAGGGAGGCTGAGGCAGGAGGATCATTGCAAGTTCAAGACCGGCCTGGGTTACAAAGTGAGCTCAAGTCCAGCCTGAACTGCACAGCGAGACCCTGTCTCAAAAAGATAAAAATAAAAAAATTCTTCCTGGTTGCTGTCATAAGAGAAATATACAGAATAACCAAAATTTCCCCGTAAAAACATCTGTCTGAGCCAGATGTGGTGGCACAGGGGGTTGAGGCAGGAGAATCACTGTGAGTTTGAGGCCAACCTGGGCTACATAGTGAGCTTAAGGCCAGCCTGAATTATATAGTGAGACCCTGTCTCAAAAAATTCTGTCTGAGTCAGCTCTGGGTACACACAGGCTAAGACGTGAGTCTCTCCACGCATAAATGACCTATGCATGCTCAGGCTCTTAGCCTTCCATGAGGATCAGACCAGAAAAAACAGTAATAATAACAGCAACAGACAGGAAGTTATCTTTTTAGCCGGGTATGGTGGGCACAGTAGCACATGCCTACAATCCTAGCATTCACGAGGCTGAGACATGAGGATCTCTGTGAGTTCAAGGCCAGCCTGAACTGCACAGTGAGACCCTGTCTCGAAAAAAAAAAAAGAAAGAAAGAAAGAAAGAAATTATCCTTTTAGCCAGTGGGGTGGCACACGCCTATAACCCCAGCACTGAGAAAGCTGAGCAGGAGGATCACTGAGAGTTAAAGGCCAACCTGGGCTCCACAGTGAGTTAACTGAACTATATAACAAGACCTTGTCTCAAAAGAACAAAAACAAACAAACAGAAATGATTTTCAATGTGCATGAATGTATCACAGAATCACTGAACTTTTCTTAAACTACTTTATACCATCTCCATAGCCCCTCCCAGTTTTGATGAGAATATGACATATACAATACGTACATAATAATAAGGACACTAACCGTTCATTTGGTTTATTGCTGAGCCCCTTGTGGAAAGCAAGGCACAACGCCTCTTTGTATTTGCCTAAAGTCACACTCCTTCTAACCCTCCTGCCAGTTATGTCCATTGTGGGGTCAGTGGACAACCACCAAACACCACCAAATTCAAAGTGCCCATAACTTTGTGGGCTTCCGTCCTGTCCCTGCTCAGCATTTGGACAACATCCAATCCTTATGATCCAAATAAAATAAAGCAGCCACACCTAAGCTCTCCTGACCTAGGGCCTTTTCTGTATCCCCTCCACACTCCATCAGCGACACAGGGTCCTCTGCGCTTGTGCCAGGCCCCTACTCAGGACCTCCCAGGACTCCCACACCATTGCCCAGCTGCCCCTGCCCATCAGACACAACTCTTTGCCTTCTTTTTTGTTTTGTCTTTTTGAGACAGGATCTCACTACGATCCTCCTGCCTCAGCCTCCCGTGCTGGGAGGATTACAGGCCTGCACCCCCACGTCCAGCACTTTGCCTTCTTCTGTCACTTCCTCTGGCAAAAATAAAGGTTGTACCCACCACACTCCCAAGAAAGGTCTCTCCCACACCCTGCTTGTGAGAGTCAGCCTCACCTGCCACATGCCCCGCCCCTCATGTCAAAGGAAGAGGTACTTACCACCTCATCGGCTATGAAGTCTATGAATCCCGGGAGGATCAAGAAGTCACTGTGAAGACAGAAAGTGCACACTCCCGGTGGGCAAGGGTGCCAGAAAGCGGCAGAGTCGGTCATGCCAGGGCAGGAGCACAGGGGTGGACAAACTCTCCACATTCCCCTCTCTGTCTTGCTGACTCCAGTCCAGAGAACTGGAGGTGAACGTGGCAGAAGGTTGGGGCGCCTTGTCCCACCAAGGTGCTTAGCCCAAAACGTCCACTGCCTTCACGGCTCAGGGTTTGTCAAGGGAGAGAGAAGCTCCCATATGGACACACGCAACAGAAGAGTGCCTGCCTTTGAACACTGTCAGTCTTGATAAAGGCAGACAGAAGCGAACCCAGAAAACACGGTACCTGAGAATTATTTTGTCCTGCAACAAGGCATGACCGTGACCCAGCACAGGACCAGCCAGCCACCCCAGCTCAGACGCTGCTGAGTCACACAGGGTCAAAGCAGCATGGAAGGACCCCAGGGGCCTGAGTGCAGGGCAAGTTCTGACAGCACGGCCACTGTCAAGGGGCAACCAGCACACAGGCCCAGGCAGGAAAGGGGAGCAAGGAGGCATCACGCTGGGACCAGCCAAAGCACGGCAGCTGCCCACACTAGAGTGGGCCATGGTCACAGCGAAGCCCCGAAGTGCAGCCTAGGGATGCATGGGTGGGTCTGGGCACAGTGCTACAGCCCAAGGGCCCCCCCGGGCTCAACCTGCCTAAAATCACAGCAGGCTGACAGACACACCCCAAAAGCAAATGCCACACACTCCAGGAAAGCTCAGAACCCGGCTAAGCAAAACAGCGGGCACCTCTGGTGCGGAAGAAAAAGTCAGAGTGGATGAGAGTTGGGTAGTTAATGTGCCCCAGTGCCTAGAGGAACTTACAGGAGCTCGCGTAGCAGACTCAAATGAAAAATGCATCAAACATCTCCTACTCCTTCCCCCATCATCAAAGCATTTCAGCTGCCCCCACCCCTTGGCAGCCCTTCTGTACGCCAGGGAGGCCTCTGCAGCTCACTGAAAGAGGCCTAAGAACGCGGGGTCTGTGCTTCTGGCATTGTCTGGGTATTATATTCACCCCTCACCTAGGGCCCGTAAGAGGGGTCCCTCCCCATCGCGACACCTATCCTGGTGTGCAGGGAAACTGCCTGTCTAGCGGGAATGCTTGTAGGCCAGGGAGCAGATGGCAGGAGAGGCCACTGCTGCTGTTAGCTGGCCAGCATCCCCACTCTGCCCCAGACCTGGGTTCAAATACTCCTTCCTGGCAGGGGCATAGTCCTGCAGCCCGAGGCACAGCCAGTGCCAGGCCTGCAGCAGGCAGGACACCTGGCCCAGGGCCCACGGAAAAGGCACACTGAGCCAGAAGCAGATAGGTAGGTCTCTATCCTCCTTCAGAATCCCACACCGGGTGGGCTTACGCGTGGCGGTCACAGAATACTCACGCTGGGGGAGGGGCAAGGGGCGCCAGTGCCAACCTGTGGGCAGGAGGGGAACAAGTGGAAGACTGGACTGGAGGGTGGGGAAAAGCAGTCATCCCGCGCCCCCAGGGGGCCTCTCCTGGGGACAACACTCAGCAGCTGTCCGAGCTGGGCCCCAGGAACCCCTCTGCTCTCCCTGGGAGGGAGAGCGCTGAAGGTCTGCTTAGTCTCCCCCAGAACTTCCACACCTGGCTTCCCTTCAGGCCCCAGGCCCTTGCGGGAAGCCAAGATGCCCCAGCGAGGAGGAAGCGGGCAGGCCATCTACAGATCCGGCCAGAGACCAGCCCAGGCACCAAGGCCCGCGATGTCGCTGTGCCACGTCCGTCTGCTAGCGCGGGCCTCCTTCCTTCCCTCGCCCAGCCCCCACCAGCCCCAAGTCACTCACTGGACCGGGTCGGGGCGAGCGGCGGGCGGCGGCGCACGTGCAGGGCCGCGGGCCGGGATGCGCGCGCCCAGGTGGGGCCGAGGCGAGCGCTTACTTGTAGGTGAGGCCGTCGGCGTTGGCGAAGAGCTGCTGCGCGGTGAGCCCGTCCTCGGGCACGTAGCCCGTGCCGCCGCTGATCAGGTAGTCCGCCATGCTGCCGGGGGACACCGCGACCCGACATAAACACCCGCG